AATCGTGGCGGGATGGTCCTTGTGCTACTGAACTAAATTAGTCGGAGGTGGACTCATTTCACTCCTCCATCAAGAATACGCCGCCTTGTTCTTGATGGCCCAGTTAGTAAATTAAGCAGGATGAGTTTAGGGTGTCGGGGTCCGCGCTTGCTCCCGCGCTCCTGCTATTTCAGGTGCTGTCAGGGTTGCACTTTCCTTCCAGAAGCTGGCCCTGCAGGAGAGGGAGCATCATTCCGCCGCTTCCCTCGGGAGAGAAGCGAAGGAAACATTTTTCGGGAGCTGCCTGTGGTGCAGGGCTGTGGGGACAGCAGGGCTCGGTCCATCCCAGGCGTAGCAGGGCTGCAATGGAGGGGTTGGGGCACCAGACCCTGGGGGAGCCGGGGGCTCTCCGGCCTGACGCTGAGACGTTCTTCCCTCCCGGCTCCCTGTCACTGCTGCCAAGCTGATGCCTCCGGGCTCTGTCCCTGTGCTGTTCCCGGGGCTAATAATACCTGGGAGGAGGCGGCGTGCTGCCGGCAGCGCCTCTGTCCTGAGCCCACTCCGCAGGAGCGATGCTTTCCCTGCTCGCGCCGAGCATGTCCTCCCACTGCCGCACGCCCCCCACACCCAGCACGTTTTTTACGGCACGGCCGCCTGCCAGCTTTCCCTCCTGGCCCTCCCCTATATCCCTGCCACCCCCGGTCTGCCTCAGCTCTCCCTGCAGCTTCGCTTGGGGGTAATGCAAGTACCTCCGTTACTTCTGCTTCTGCACCCAACGGCATCAGCTCAGTTACCTTCATTTATTTCTGTTCCTAAACATGGGCGTTTGCGCTGGATTTGCTCATTTGGGGGGAAAAAAATTCTCTTTGAAACAGGGTTGTTGGTCGTAAACTGGGTTTTCACCCATTTCTCACTGACTCCCTTTCCCCCACCCATATTGGTGCCTGTCGGGAGACCCAAAACCTGCTGGGTCCAGCACAAGCTCTCCACAGGGTTTGCTCTTGAGGGAGGATGCTCCAAGCAGGGTGGGAGCAGTAGGAGCTCCAGCTCTGAAATAAACCCCCTTTGAAGTCTGGGATGTCACTTAATCTCACTGCTTTGTTGAGGTTTGTTCCATTTTATGTGTCTGCTAATAAATATTGTAGCATGCTAAAAATAACTGTTAAACATGAAGAAAGAAGTAAAGCTGCTTTGGGCCCTGAATTTCCAGTTTAATTCCCTTCTCAGGGGAACTCAGACTTTCTGAAACAGGTTTAGTGGTGCCTGGTCTGCACGGCTGCTTGTGGCTTTTCAGTGTCGTGCTGCTGTCCCAGGGAAGAGCCAGTGGCAATGAGGTGTTGCAGGGCAGGACAGCGATGGGTGGGAGAGATGCTCCTCTTGGAGGCTTGGTGGCCGCTCTCCCAGTGCCACATCAAGGGAGGAAGCTGCTTGCAGAAGAGCCTGGGATATCCTGAGGGCATTGAGGGAGGAGAAAGTGGCTGGTTCGGGGAGCTGCGGACATCTCCCGCCCTCCGTGCTCAGGGATGCTGATGGTGTGGCTGAGCAGCAGCCCTGCAGTCCCCAGCATTGCTCTGAAGCCCTCCCATGTGCCATGTTTGCATCACACAGGTCAGCCTGAGAGACCAGGTTACCCCAGCCCGGCCCCGTGTGCCACTTCCGTGCCCTGTACGGTGCTTGCAAAGCCCTGTGTGGCACAGCCGTGCTGGCAGAAGTCACGTAGGTAGAGCAGAAGCCCGTACCAGCAGAGGAGCCTCCCGCTGCTGCGTCTGCAGCATCTCTGCCTCGTGCTGGCAGGGTCCCGGCTTCTGTGCAGCCCCAGGGTACGGCATCGAGGAATGGCCGCCCTGGCACCGTGCTCCTGTCCCCCGCACTGCTTACCTTGCAGCTGACTGGCAAATGCAAACTGAAAGCGCTGCCGATAGTTTTAGTGTTGCTGACGGTTGTGTGCGTTGGAGGGGTTCGCGTGCTGTTCCGCTGCGGCCCCTGGCTCTCGGCAGCACCGCCCTGCCCACCCTTGCAGGCAGCGATGAGCAGCAAGCAGTGATTCGGCAAAGACGCC